ATAATCATATATGAAACAACTTCATCAAAAAAAAATATTATATGAAATAATTTTACAAGATTAATTAAACAATTTCATGAAAAAGTTTCATAAGATTAAACAATGAAATCGACGGATGAAGATGGTTTGCACGGTTTGTACAAAATTAGGTGGTTTGCATTTGATCGTTCATATATATATATATATATATATATATATATATATATATATATATATATATATAGACTTGTGATCATGTGAGACCAGCCTGTTTTCGTGAGACCCGTGAGACCAACATTTTACACTTGAAACTTCACAGCAAAATGCTGTGAAGGTGACTTTTTAAAACCTTCACAGTGTTTTTGCTGTGAAGGTTACATGTAAAAATGTGGTCTCACGGGTCTCACGAAAACAGGCTGGTCTCACGTGAACCCAACCATATATATATATATATATATATATATATATATATATATGCGGGGGCTTATCCTATAAGTATTTTATAAACAATTTTTAAAAATTGTATAATATGAATGTGTTATGAAAATAAAGTTACTTTTGTAATGCAAACTATAATTTTTCCTTAAAAATAATTAAAATTTGTACTTATAAATCAATATTCTTGTTTTCAATTTGTACAAAAGATAAATGAATTACTCTTTGTATTTTCAATTATATATAAAAAATGGACACGATAATGACTTATCATAAGTTATTAGGCAATCTTTATTTTTCAATCGACCTATATTTGTTCTTTTTTGTTCAATGGGCCGACCTTGTCAAATAATGCACTTAACCCATATATATTTTAGCGTGTGTGTTGGTCTTTTGAATGAATTTATAGATGTGTTTCTAGAGAAGTTGTCAACTGGTTAACAATAATTATAAGAATAGAACACCAAATTGATTTCGTTTCCGGAAAGGAAGTATCAAATCAACAAGTATATAGAACAAATCGAAGTGAGATAAAAGAGATCTGCAAACAACTAGAGTTTCTAGGTAAGAGATACATGAGATAAAGTCTTAGTCCTTGCTTCGTTCACATAACTCTTGCGTCAAAGACGGATGGAGCATGGAGTTTATGTTTACAGAGTGTAGGTATTTTTGTGTTTTTATTTTCTTGTTCTAACTATAATTTGATTCCATTATACCCATTCTAGCATTTTATTTGCATCGTATAGTGTCTTATGTAGACTCGTTTGTCGTCATGATTTTTGATGATTTTTAGGTCATTCTAGGTACTCGGGATGTAAGTTTTTTCTGAATAAACATGATGAATTATGGAGTCTTTGATGTGATTGCTAGCGTGACATGATAACGAGATGTAAAGGGGGTTCTAAGCATTTGTTGAAGAACCAAGTCTTTCAAGCATGCATGCAGGGTCAAAGCAAGCGAAACAACAAAATCAAGTTTGTGGGTAGCATCCTCTAGAAATAGTTGTCATGATGTGATAGTATTTTGATCACGATTCACTTGTAACAGCTCAGAATGAGGCGATTTCAACAGGATGTGACAAGGGCAAAAGTTGCACGATGAATCCTAGGCCCAAGTTGAAACATGCATTTTGAAGAGGGGTACTTGGTTTGGGAGATTTCACCCTATATATAAATACATCTTTTGTGACATTAAGATATGAAAGAAGAAAGGTACATGCCCTTCTCTCTTTTGCTTTTCTTCTCTTTTTCTTTTAGTTTGTTTAAATAACAGTTAGTGATGCTTTTAACGTTACAAACTCGTGTTTATAAATCATCTATCTTTTTAGTTCTCAAATTTGTAATGTATTTCCATATCGTATTTGATTCACCCTTTGTTAATCAAACAACAATCTTTGATACATTATCTACAAGGTTCGGTGAGTTGGCCAATGAAGGTTTACAAATACATCAAAACTTTAGAACAAAAGTAGATTAAGTTCAATACAACTTGATTAATTCAACAAGAAAGTGGTTAAATTTTGACAACATAATTGGATTTTGATAGACTTTATTTGATCCAATCATGTGTTAGATGTTGAATTTTGACAATATAATTAACGTTAGATATCTGATCTGATCCGATCCGATCCAATCCAACAGATGATTGTATGAATCGGTGCTATATGCTAGATATAGTTCTATCGATTATTTATTGGATCGGATTGGATCCATTTAATATTTTGAACCAACTATTAATATATGTCATATGTCATATACCAAAATACCACATACAAATATCATAAATCATAAGCATGGTCATAAGTCATAAGTCATGACAATTATATGTCCAACCAATCGTATGATAATTGGATTATATCAAGTCGGTTTTATTGGATCTTTAAATATCATCCAACAATCGGTTGTTGCAAATGGATATTGAAGTTTTGGATCTCATCCCTTTTAGTTATATTACATATCTAATTTTGATGGTTGGTTATAACTGGATCGGATAATGTTTTGTACATCCCTAAGTAGAAAAAATATTTTAAGGACCACTTAAGTAACTTGATCATCTTCTTGTGCGAATTGGAATTCCAAATGAGTTTTCTTTATTCTAATTTTTATATTAAATCTCTTGCATTTCATCATAATTTAACAACTGATAGGTCCCTTAATCTTGGTTATTGTTAAGTAAAATAAAGATGGATTTAAGTACAAATAAATTATATATTTAGAAGAATTGCAAGGTTGTGCATATTTTGAGGGAACTAAGGTTGGGATATTCATCAAATGATATGGGCAAACGGTTCAAATGTTGATTAAATAGGAATAAAAATTCAAATGATCGTAAAAAAGAGGCAGGGCAGTCGGGATATGAGCCAAAATTAGGGTTTCTCCCTTTGATGGTTGCGTTTGGAAAGGGATGGATGACCGCACGACTTTCCCGGTGATTATAGTTGTGCCACTACCCGCCTAAGCTTTTGTCTGCTTTTCAAATCTCAATATGACTTCTTAAATTTGACGAACCAACTCACCCCAAACCGTGCTAATCACCTTCTTGTTGCTTCAAATGTATTCAGGTGACTTTCCCAACGGGTTTAATCGCAACCTAAGTCGCTAACTAGCGACCCCCATATCATGCATAACTCGATTTTGAGCAGTTTTTCTCTAGGGGAAATATATATTCAGCCCTTAACTGTCTTTTAGAGGGGGAATCAACGAAGGATTATTAGAGAGCAATCAAGGACTGATCAGACCTTAGAGCACGACTTGGAGAACATTAAAGTGGATTTTGGATTTCTTAACTAGGATTTTTCATCATTTTGTAAGTTTAATATGTATTTCAAAATATTGTTATGAGTAGTAAAATGTATATTCCTACTAATGAGATTGTAACTAGTTTACTTTGAATTTTGTTGAGACTTGATTTATATTAGAATGTCAGTTGAATTTGATTTATCTAATCCTCATTAGAAGCGTTTTTTTATTCCCTAGGTTTTTAGTTTTGAGAAGGATCGCTTAAATCCCATAGCCTGAATTTGAATTGCTAGTTGCAGTCAAGAATCCACAATTATTCTTAGTTCAACCAAGTTGCAAGTAATGCATCAATCGACCACCAAAATTGACTTGCGTTATAGGATCGTGTACATAGAGAAGCGGCTATAAACTAAAGAGTCTTAACCAATTTGAAAGATCATTTAATGTAGTTGAAATAACTAAATTTTGGGTTGTTCGATCGGGAAGGGGGGGGGGGGTACCAGTCATAGTGTTCACTCTTCCCCATAAGAATAAGAACTCAATTCCTGGGGTTTTTTCTTCCTTAGTAGCTTTGACAACATTTGTGTGTAAGCCCTCATATCATACTCCTACTACCTCTTAACTTCAAGTGGGACGACTCATCCCCATCTTTAAGGAAGAGATCGGCGACCCCAAGTTCTTTTACCACATTCAGAAAGTCTTTTCTGTCGGACGACAATGGTATGACTTCAAGTCATTAGTTAGGATTGGTGCTTGTCTAAATTTTAATGCAATTGGTGGATTAATTTCTGTGTTCGTGACTAGACTTAACTTCATCAATTAGAAACTTGTCCACTGAGCAGATCGTGCTAATGTAATCATAAGGAAAAAGCAGTGTTTGGCGCATGTCGACACTCACGACCGGAAATCAATTGAGAATATATGTTTTTGTATACATAGTTCCATAAAAGAACTTGTTATATTCATCACTTGAATTCATTCTCTATGTTTTAAAAGTTGTATTAACTTTGCATGCCTAGTCTAATCAACTTCCAACCGCCCCCTCATTTCGTTTTACACACACACAATGTATCTTGGAGTCTATGGTTGACATCCAGTCTTTAAGGACATGATCCTACTTACGGCTATCACAAGTCATTGTGCAATCGAGTAATAAGCATTATTTATTATTTATCGGATTCGGCACTTGAATATACAAAAAAAAATGAATTATTCGAATTATTAAGAAAATGCAAATATCATTGACAAATTAACAAACCCATTTTTGGTGAAGGTGTTGTCAGAAATTCTCTTTACCTATATAGGGCTGTCTGAAAGTCGTAGATAACATTAGTTGTCGAAAATCGATCGCAAACCATGGTTGTCAGAAATCTGTCGGAACGTTATTATAGTTGCTTTATAAAAACACATTATATTAATTACTTCATTGACACATTGCAAGTGGACGTTGACATATGTAATATGTACTTCTTTCTATAGTTTTATCGGAAAATCTTCTCGAACAAAAACTTCAATTACGATAACTTTCAAACAGATTACCCACGTAATCAAATGGCACCAACAAAATAGAAAGGCGTATTTTCTTCGTAGTGAGCACGGTGATAGGGTTAGAGTCGAAAATAATTGTATATTCCTACAATGACGACTTCTCGTCACTATAAGCTAGGTTAAAATACTTCAAACCCTAAAAAAAGTTAATGTGGCAATTGCAAAATGTCTACCCCTACGCAAAGACCATGCAGTCGTTGCAATAGACCTTGTGTCATGACATCTATGGCGATGACTTTTCTCATACTTTGTCATCTCAATATATAGGTTACTTTTGTTGTAATGAAGTAGATTATTTTATTGCATTCTTGAACACATTTAAGCATTTTATAAATAAGCAACCCTTTAAAAAACCACATTAAATACAAAACAATTACAATTTTCAAGAAGTCTACATCCCAAGAACACAAAAATGATGCACAGAAAAGCAAACAAATGCTGAAAAAATTGAAAATAATACATAGTAAGAAGATGAATTAAAACCGGTGACGAGATACGTACTTGTTTAGGTACTTTGGAGACAGGATGACCACGCTCGAGGGACTAGACTTTTGTCGAACCCTCGTAGACATCAGATTTTTATTCAGAAGGAAATCATACACAAGTTTTAAGCACTTGAGCATACTATATGGACCAAGATGTCTCGGGTTTTATTTGGGTTTAACAAATAAATCGGGCTAGTTAGTTTTGGTGCAAACTTTCCTAACTTCACCYTGAGARCCTGTAAGAACCCCAATYCTGCCCATSTTAACCATAGACACACCAAARTCCTTGAAGAAAGTGGAACSRTGGCTMRTAGCTTGAACCAWGTARGCTCTAGTCTCAGGGTCGTYAAGTAAGGCTGCATCTGATTCAAGAAGCCCCCTCCTCTTAGTCACTAGTTTGTAGTACGAATCATCAAAAGTCTTGACGCTTCCTGGATCTAATTCAGCCAGTGTGGTTTGGTCTCCTGGCTTGCATTTCAACTTCAGTCTTGCAATGTAATTTGGGTCCATGGTGGGGTCCATGTCGCCTTTCCCAGTGAAGTTGTAGAGCCGGTCATCGAAGGATGAGCAATGAGATGTCCCTATGGTGTGTCCTCCTACAAAATGATCAAGAATCCATATATTGCTTACATGGTGTGTTGTAACTAAATTGTTCAATGTTCGTTTTGTACAATATAATCTTATCAATGAATTTGTCTAAAACCCTACTGGTGTTGTGATGGAGGGTTGTTTTGTGGAAACTTAACTTGTAAAACTGTGAAGAACGTACCTGATAAAACAACAAGGTCTTTTACATTCAGTCCCCTTAGAGCAAACGATTGCTTCAAGATGTTAATGTTCGCGAAGAATGGTGGCAAGCCTGTTATAGGTGCTGATGGTTCCCCGATAACGGACACTTTTCCATCTCTTCGCCCTGTTTCGACCTCCCAGTATGGTCCCTTAGTCTGTTAACAAGAGAAAAGACGCATGAAAAACGATCATTAGTCACTGTTGCGATAACAAATGAATTTTCGATACTCAAAACTCTCAGCTGGTATCATATGCACCCGAAACAGATTCGTAAGTATATTTATGAGGATTAGAAATCTACCGCCACTGTAACATCTCTGGCAACTATGGCTGCAATGTCAGCACAAGAAACCACTCCTGGACAGGCCTCTTCTAAGGCCAACTTCACCCTATCGATGATGTTGAATCCTCTTAGGCTTAGATTTGGGGCTGAAAATTTCTCCGATTGTTTAGTTGGAGAATCCAAAAGAACTGATCCATCGCATCCCTGTACACATATCGTTCATAAAGCAAATGTAAGCTATTTAATGATGCATATTATGATACATAAAGAAGAGAATTAAAGCAAACTACGGACCCTAATGAAGCAATCGTGGAAGTGCATTCTCAGCAACGGGCCAGATAGAGATGGTGCCACAGCCATAACATCGCTTATGACCTTGTAAACAATATCTTCGGCATGAGGGCATGATTTCTTATAGAAACCTACTTTCAAGCCTTCACCATTTGCTTGCGAAGAAAAGAGTGCCAGGAACATCATTTGGACCATGAAAATCCCGAGCAAGTTCTTGTTACCGGCCATTGCGAAGAAGAAAAGACTTCAATGAGTTCAAATTATTTGTGGGATATTTGAAATGTTAATGCGATCAAGGCTCATTATATAGTTGATTAGAGAAACCCTGTGATATGAACAAGTCCCATATGCTGACCACTTGGCTTTTCAATTGTATTTTATCCAACTTCGTGATGTCAAAACTGAGGTGGAAAACTTCAAGGATCATGAACAGGTATGATTTGCACATTATGGAAAAACCGAAAAGAGTTGACTTAATTAAATACTACAAAGACACCCTTGAGAAAATTCCCACATACAGAGGCCATCTCCTACAGTATGAAAGAGGCCGCACCGAAAATTCCCAGAAAAGAAAACCAGTGTTGGACGCAGGATTTTTGCCGAGGCCCGCAAAGGTCATCCACCATTTCGAGGGATTTTTTAAGTTTTTTGGTTGATTTTGATATACTTTTCATGCTTTGGGTTGATTTCAAAAGTCTTTTTCGTTTTTGTTTATTGATATCAAGAGCCGTTTTCGGTGTTTTAGTTGATACCAAGGAGGTTGTTTTCATTTTATTGATGTTCTTTGTATATTCTTATATCCGAGACCACCCCTCAAAGTGTAGCGAGTGCACCTGTTATACCTTAAAAGATTCTACGTATGAAAATTGGCGGAGCTGATGCACGGCCTGCTCGAACCTTAACATGAAGATAACTATTCTGTTTACAATAGTATTTAACAAACGAGTAATATAGATTAGGAACTATCGTTATCGAGGTTGTTTGAAGGTCAGTTAGTGTGGAATTATATAAACCAACATGTTAAAAAAATAAAAGTAAATGGCACAGTTCGTTGACATTGAACCAAGAACATGCACGCTACAATCATCAACCTAACCCATTTCTATGGACCATTTCCAGGATGTTATAAAGAATTAGAGAAAAACTCGTATAGTAGATTATTTAATATATATAAACTAAAGTAATATTCTAATCAAACACGATAAATTATCATTTTTAATTCTTCCTTTTTTTTAATTAACCTCGATATCCAACCCGCTATGTGAGCCGACTAATCCCAGGACGACCACGTACTTTGCAGATAGCTCGGAGTCATCGCATTTGAATCTTTGTGGCCACAAAGGAATTCTTCCTTTTATGTTTTATATTAATTAAAACAAAAAATTACAGATTTTTTTGCAAAAGTTAGGAAGGTTAGACATGTGATCCTAAACAATTTGACTGAGTGATTAATTTGCTAATAACTGGAAGAGTAAGAGAAGATAGTTTAGATCTGAAGAAATAAGATAGTTTTAGATATCATGGCACCAATCTGAAAGAATATGTACTTAAAGTTGTTTTTTAGTGTGTGGTTGGAGTTGATTTTTTTCGCGTTCAATGGACTAATTATTTTTAGGGTTTTTAGTGTATTTTTTAGTGGTTGGGTTGGAGATACGATGGTATAAAGTGCAAGGAAGTGGAATATTAATTTATAAATGAAAAAGTTCATAAACCAGTAATATAGCATCACAGGATATGTTGATTAAATCGCAATTAATGTTCAAAAAGGCACGACATGACATGCTTCATGGCGCAACATGGCATAAGACGCTTATTCGCCATTATGATAAGGCATGTAGTGTTTGTATAATACGTGGCTCATGTCAATTGTCATGGTGTCTTGAGGCGTGCCGTCACGATCGTTCTTTCCATGACGTCACTTGTTTCAATTTTTTATATTTTTTTCAATTTATTTTTTTTAAACTTTAGATTATATATTATTACAAAGTTAGATAATCGTATCACTCACAATTTCTTGGATTTAAACACATGCCAAGAACTAAGTTGTAAAACTCTTCCAAGTTCTATTTTGAAAATTTGATCACAATTTATATAATACTAGTTAATTTATATGAAGGCAGATTCTTTTAATAAAATCATATTATTGAACAATAAAAAGAAAACATATATTTATGTATATATATAAAATTATATATATGACATACAAATTTGCCAATTATTTTACGCCTTTAAAAATGTTGCGTCTTTAAAAATGTTGCGTCCTCAACGTGGTGTGTAAAACTTAAGGCTTGAGCTCGCCATCACGCCATGCCTTACGCCATTTTGAACCTTATTGCTAATACATATCCATATTTTTCAAATTTAAAATAGTAAAGAAAATTCTATTTTGTTGTTAAAATATAAGATGAGGTTTGTTTTTTAAAAGGCGCTGAAGTCTTATTTTACTTCTAATTTATAAGAGGTGGTGCTGACGTCTGAAATATGAATCAATAAGACTGTTTGTTTTTGTAAACTGATAAACGTTTGAATTTGTTTAAATTGTCTTTTTTACCCATTAAAAATTTATATTGTTGAATTTATAGATGGAATTTATACAATTTCACATATTTATTCATCATCATTATGAAATTACATCTAAATTACATAATTAACACTCATTTAAACGAAAAATATTTCATTAACGTATTTAATATATTTAAATCCTGTTAAAATACATCAATTGAGAGACGTGAGGGTTGATTTGGTAAGGATTGATTGAGAGAAATGATGATTAAGGTTAATCGATTGAGAAATGCCGTTTTTGAGAGTTTGAAGAACAATAAGAGGTTAGTTTACCTCTTACCAGATAAGATGACAACAAGACATAAGTGCCTCTGAAAAATTGGAAAAAACAAACAATCTGAATGACTTTACCTCTTAACGAATCAGACATAAGAGACTAAAGATCTTTAAAGGCATTAGGATGGGGTGTGAGCTTATCCATGCATGTTTAAATGATTGTTTCTTATACTATAAAGAGGATGACGTACATGACCAGTGCCTCGTATGTGGATTGCCAAGATATGAAGATATCAATAACAAAGTACCGATGAAGACTGTTATCGATATCTTCATAAAGGCATTGGGATGGGGTATAAGCTTATCCATGCATGTTTAAATGGTTGTTTTTTATACTATAAAGAGGATGACATACATGACTAGTACTCCGTATGTGGATTGCCAATATATGAAGATATCGATAACAAAGTACCGATGAAGACTGTTCGTTACTTTTCTCTGACACCGAGGTTGCAGCATTTGTACATGTCAAAATATACTGCAAATCATATGAGATGGCAATCCACATACGGGGCACTAGTCATGTATGTCACCTTCTTTATTGCCCACTCCAAACAAGCTTCCTAAATCATATGTAGAGGCGAAAAAGACCCTTAAAGGCATTGGGATGGGGTATGAGCTTATCCACACATGTGTTGACTGGTTGTTTCTTATACTATAAAGAGGGCTACATACATGACCAGTGCCCCGTATGTGGATCGTTAAGATATTAAGATGTCAATAACAAAGTACCGGTGAAGACTGTTCGTTACTTTCCTGACACCAAGGTTGCAGCGTTTGTACTCCTCAATTTTCGAGTGACCTCAGAAACGTTCGCCTCGCTTTATCGACTGATGGTTTAGCCCTAACCGGGGCTTCTGCTACTCCCTATAGCATTTGGCCAATTGTTGTGATTCCATAACACTTACCTCCTTCAATGTGTATGCAAAAGAAATTTAATATACTAACGATGTTGATATCCAGACCAAAATCCCCAGGGAAATGTCTCAATTTGTTTATGAGGCCACTGATTGATGAGCTCAAATTTCTTTGGGAGACTTGTTTTAAGACATGGGATCAATAAGGGGAAGAGTACTTTATGATGAAAGTTGCAGTGATATGGACCATTAGTGATTTTCCGGGGATGGGAATGTTAAGTGGTATTCAGACGAAATGGTACAAGGCCTATCCCATATGTTTGGATGACACTGATGCTAAGTCCTCTCATGGTAGGATGTTGTATATGGGGGCATGTAGATGGTTAGATATGAATCATGAATTTCGAATTCAAGGAAGAAATTTTAATGGAAAGTATGAGTTTTGACTAGCTCCAGAAACTCGAACTGCGATTCAGGTTTTATAGGAAACTGTCTCCCATTGATACCCTCGTTTGAGTTTGGTTAAAGAGAAGAAATCGAAACAGGTTTATAAATCTATTACATTCAAAACTTGTATTTACTTATCATATATGAAAGTTAAACTGAGGTTATTGTTAACATTAGGAGATGAATGAGCCAAAGTTGTGTTGGACTCATAAAAGCGTATTTTGGGAGCTCCCGTATTGGAAGAAATCTAAAGTGAGACATGCCTTGGATGTCATGCGCATCGAGAATAATGTATGTGACAACATTCTTGATACAGTTATGGGGTTTGATGGAAAGTCTAAGGACGACCTTAAAGCTTGCAAAACTCTTAAATATATGAAGATATGCAAGCATTTTTGGCCGAAGAAACCCCAAGGCACTTCGGGAAAAAAAAAACACTACCTTATGCTAATTACACGGTGGAGCCTCAATTTCGCCTCGAGGTGCTTGATCAAATTTCCATTGTTCAATATCCCAGTGGTTGTGCTGGAAGCTTAAAGAACAAGGTAAACATAAATGACAAGAAGTTTTATAGTTTGAAGACTCATGACTGCCACATTATTTCAGCGCATTCTTCCCGTGGTCATACGACCGTACGTGGCCAATCATGTCGCTGATGCAATTTGTGACTTATCCAGATTCTTTTAGATGTTGTGTTCTTGAGAGTTAAAGAAGTCGGATGTTGAACATATGCAAAAGGACATTATTTTGATTTTATGCAAGCTAGAGGTGATATTCCCTCCAGCTTTCTTCACAATCATGGTACATCTCTACATCCATTTTCCTAAACAAGTCTTCCTAACCGGTCTTGTGCATTACACTGGGATGTTTCCTATAGAGAGGTATGTGCACACTATTGATATTGATAATTAAATATATTGAATTGTATTAACAAATACAATTTACCCCGAGGGTTGTATTGCAGAATGGTACCTCATGCATGAGTGTGTGACATTCATGAATCTTTATTTGAATACCGTACCAGTAGTACATAACAACACTTTGATGTCAGATTCATCTTGATGGACCCTCTTAGTCGTGTCTGATTATGTTATCCCGAATAGTCGCCTCTAGAATGCCACTTTGACTAGTAAAAAAATGGAAATAGCTTGTTGGATGGTTATTGTTAATTGTACAGAAGCACAAGTAGATATTGATAAGTTCAATGAACTTTATGTAATATACTACCCGAAAGGTTGCTTCGAGCATCGTATCGCGACATTCCATCAGACTTTCAAAACTTAGGTTATATATTTTATCATGTTTGAAGACTTTCAAAACTTGGGTTATATGTTGTTTCTTGCCACTCATATATTTTATCATGTAGATGGCAAACGAACAACGTAATGTACAACAGGAATTAAAGATACGATCACGTAGCCCTCAAAAAATCGTTGTGTATGTACAGTGTAACATGAACGGTGTTAGATTCGTATGTGAACAACGAGATGAGAGTCGTAAGACACAAAATAACATGGTGATGATAGTGGCAGACGATGTGTCATACTACGGGGTTCTACAACTAGTTGTAGAGCTAATTTTTCGGGAAGCGATGTCGGTCGTGTTGTTTATGTGTAGGTGGTATGACGAAGAAAATACAAAGTTAAATCGTGGTCTGATTTCGATTGATACAAAGACCGATTGCTTCAAAGATAGTCAATTTTGTCTCTCCTTACATGCGAAACAAGTATTCTACGTCGATGATCCAATGTTTGGTAACGGTTGTAATATTGTTCATCACATGTTTCATAGAGGTACATACAAGGCGATTACACTTGCACGAAACACAAATGTCGGTCCACATTATGAGGTAGAGGAACCGTATCAAGAGCCCTTGACTACCACCATTCCCATAAGTGATATTTTTATAGACATTGGTCCTACACCACGTATTGATATACCAAATGATGATGATGAGAACGATGAAGATTACAATGAGGAAGATGACAAGGACGATGAGTACCACAGTGATGAAGAGGAAGAGGACGAGAACGATGTGCTTGGAATCAACAATTATATAGATTCAGATAATGATGTTAATGAGTTTCCTAATACTGGTGATGAAAATCTCCATGACCTGAATTATTGATTAAATATTAGTATGTGTGATACAATGAATTAAAGAAATTGATTAAATTCTTTTACCTCCCAAACCCGTTTATTTTCGTGTCGAGTTCATGTCGTGTCAATAATTTCCACCCCTATTCGCAATGGGTCATACGAGGGCCGTCTTAGTGCTAAATGTGTCACAACCATTCTTAACAGGTCCAAATTCAACAGCAAATTGTTAGTTTGTTACACTAATTAGTAAAAATAATAAAATTTTAATTTAAAAATCTAGAGTTTTAAATTTGAAGTTGTAAGAATTTTAAAATTTGAAGTGACAGATTTCCGACGGATTGGGTTCAATTGGGTTTTAACGGGTACTATTGAGATTTAATGGATCTTAGTGGATGTATTGGGTTTTAATGGATCTATTGGGCCTTATTTGGTTCAATTAGGTTTTAACGGGTACTATTGAAATGTAATAGATCTTAGTGGACTTTAATGGACGTACTAGGATTTATTAGTTTCAATTGTGCTTTAACTGATACTATTGGGATGTAATGAATCTTAATGGACTTTAATGAACATATTTGTATTTATTTGGTTATATTGAATTTTAATGGATATTTTGAGTTTTATTCGATTCAACTGGAAATACAATAAAATGTACCAAAAAAATAAAATGAAATTTACCAAAAATATTTTTTTAATAAAACGAAATTTACCAAAAATAAAAGCGTTTGTATTGCCAAAACATAGTTTTTAAAATGTAAATATCTTTTTTTCATGTACCTTCTTTTTTCCCCCAAAGTCAAACTCTTTCCCCCTAAAAATTTCATCTCCCTTATTCACCGCCCCTCCCAACACCATTCCCGCTCCCAATTTCTCTCCATCAATTTCTTTGTTCTCTCCATCAATTGCCTTAGATGGTGTAATAGGAGGTCTTGGTCAGTGATTAAATCATTGATTTCCTGCTCCGAATTTCTCTCCATCGATTTCTCTGTGCTCTCTTGCTTTCTCTCTAGTCTATTGAAGGCAAAGGTCTAGGTCAGTGATTAAATCACTGATTTAAGGTATAGCTCCAACCTACCATCGATTCCTTCCAACCAAATCTCGATTTCTCTCCTGATTTAAGGTTTGCTTGCATAATTCTTGTTTCCTTAACTTTTCCTTTGAATACTCGATTTCTTTTCCTTTGGTGGTTTGGAAATTGAAATGTCAAAGTGTTTGGTAGACTCTCACTACTCATTTATATCTGGTGAATTTGCTATACTGCGTTGAAGGTATGCATTTGATGTAAATGTGGAAAAGGCAGAAGATGTTCTCATACACAAGTGCTTGTTGAATCTAGCAGATGATCTTTCTAATGTTGAGAAAGTTTAAGTCTGCATCGTGGGTCCTACTTATTTGTTCTTATTTACTTAGTCTTTTATTGTCAGTTTATTTGTTTACCTTGTCAATAGGAGTATGGAGTGGAGTAGTGGGTTAGTGCCTATTTTCTAGTACTTTCAGTTTACTTTATTGCCTATCTATAGGCTGCTTTGTTTGCTTTTCTTCAGTCATCAGGAATAAGAAAGTAGTAGCGTTTGCTTTCCTTCATCCTCTGTTTTCTCTATATACTTGGTGTGATTATTTTTACTCTTCTCTTTATTTTCTTGACAGTGGTATCAGTGCTTGGTTTCAAGAAGAGTAGAAATTTATTTTTCCCCTTTCCTTATGGCTTCTTCTGATTGTTTTGTACAACCTGCCATCCCACGCTTTGATGGTCATTATGACCATTGGAGCATTCTAATGGAGAATTTCTTGAGGTCCAAATAATATTGGCCAATTGTTGTTTTCTGGAGTAGCAGAACCAGCTGCAGGTGTTGAGTTATCGGCAGCACAAAAGACGGAACTTGAAGGGATGAAGTTAAAGGATCTTAGAGCAAATAATCATCTTTTCCAAGCGATTGACCGATCAATCTTGGAAACCATTCTTTGCAAAGACACCGCCAAACATATTTGGGATTCCATGAAGAAGAAATATCAAGGTACAACAAGGGCTAAGAGGCAGCAGCTTCAAGCACTACGTTTGGAGTTCGAGATGCTTCGAATGAAGTTGGGAGAATCAGTTACTGACTATTTCTCAAAAACGATGGCAATCGTTAACAAGATGTGAATTCATGGCGACAAGACGGAGGATGTGCATATTGTTGAGAAAACTCTTCGATCGTTGACACCAAAATTTAATTTTGTTGTCTGTTCTATAGAAGAAGCTAATGATGTTGGTTTGATTTCCATTGATGAACTACATAGCTCTTTGTTGGTTCATGAAAGGAAAATTAACGAGCAGGAGAATGAAGGGAAGGAAGAACAAGCACTGAAGGCAGAAAATCACTCTACATGGAATAGAACTAATAGAGGTAGAGGAAGAGGCCGAGGAAATTATCGTGGCAGAGGAGGCAGAAATCACAATGATCGTGGGAACCAGCAACATTTCAATCGGCAAGAAAGTCAATTCCGAGGAAGAGGCAGAGGACATTCGAGGTCAGCAGACAAGTCAAGTGTTGAATGTTTCGRTTGTCATAGGTATGGCCATTATAGATCTGAATGTCCCTCTGATTTACATAGACGAAGTGGCGATCAAACTAACTTTGCAGAAAATGAAGAAGAAGTCTCTCTTCTGATGGTATGTCACATGACGGAGGAAACCTAACAAAACATGTGGTATCTAGACACCGGCTGCAGCAATCACATGTCTGGAGAGAAAGAGACATTCTTTGAATTGGATGAATCGTTTCGTAGCACTGTGAAGTTTGGCGACCATTCCAAGATTTCGGTTATGGGAAAGGGAAAGGTATTAATTCAGTCAAAAGGAAATACTACTCACACTATTTTCAATGTTCTTTTCGTGCCAGATTTAAAGACCAACCTGCTTAGTGCGGGTCAGTTACAAGAAAAGGGATATGAAATACATATGAAGGATGGCGTATGTACGGTTAAAGATGCAAAGTTGGGCTTGCTTGCACGGGTTACTATGACAGCAAATCGAATGTTCCCACTCGATCTCCACAACACAACTTACTCATGCCTCTCAACAAAATTGGATGATGAAGCATGGCTATGGAATTTTCGCTATGGGCATCTGAATTTTGGTGGACTAAAAACCCTATGGCAGAAAAACATGGTGACAGGCCTCCGGCAGTTGGCTGTCCCATCTCAAGTTTGTGAAGAGTGTGTTGTTAGCAAACAACACCGTAATCAATTTCCACAAGGAAGTTCGTGGAGAGCAAAGAAGGCACTGGAGCTTGTTCATTCCGACATTTGCGGGCCAATAACACCACATTCTAATGGAGGTAAAAGATACATAATTACCTTTATTGATGATTATAGTCGAAGAAAATGGGTTTATTTTTTGCAAGAAAAATCTGAAGCCTTTAAAGCTTTCAAAAGCTATAAAGCTTTAGTTGAGAAAGAAGTTGGCAAGCCGATAAAAGTTCTTCGCACGGATCRTGGTGGAGAATATAACTCGCATGAATTTGCAAGTTTTTGTGATAATCAAGGAATCAAAAGACAACTTACAGCAGCATACACGCCACAGCAGAATGGYRTATGCGAGAGGAAGAACCGCACTATTATGAACATGGTGCGAAATCTTTTGACCACAAGTGGCATTCAAAAAAGGTTCTGGCCCGAAGCCGTACATTGGAGCATTCATTTGCTGAACCGAAGTCCCACACTTGCTGTCCAGAATATGACACCCGAGGAAGCATGGAACGGAAGGAAACCTGCTGTCGACCACCTTAGGGTGTTTGGCTGTATAGCTTATGCCCACATTCCAGACGAAAAGAGAAAGAAGTTGGATAATAAAGGAGAAAAGTGCATTTTTCTTGGTGTTAGTGATCAGTCGAAAGCTTATAAGCTGTATAATCCTTACACTAAGAAAGTTATCATCAGTCGTGATGTAGTCTTTGATGAAACCAATTTCTTTCCAGGGGATCGAGATGGCGTTATGAAGAGTATACCAACAGATTTTGATGGTAATGACCCAAAGCCGGTGGAGAATGTGCAAGAGGAGTCTGAACAGGAGGTTACTCCAAATGTATCAGTCGCAGCTAATCAGAACCCATCAACACTTGATCAACACCGATCAACACCTGATCAGAATCCACCAGCACCTGATCAGAACCGACCAACAGCCGGTCAAAGACGACCAGCAGTTGAACCAAGACCCGAGCGTGTTCGAAAAAGACCCGTATGGATGGTCGATTATGAAGTACCTGGAGCTGATCAAGGTGATGACCCATTTACACACTTTGCTTTGTTTTCAGATTGTGATCCTACCTTCTTTGATGAGGCTGTCAAAGAACCAAAATGGAGAAAAGCGATGGATGCTGAGATTGCAGCCATTGAAAGAAATAATATGTGGGAACTATGTGATCTTCCACAAGAGAAAAAGACAATCACTGTAAAGTGGGTTTACAAGACAAAGCTAAACGAGAACGGTGAAGTTGAAAAATACAAGGCACGTTTGGTGGCTAAGGGCTACAAGCAAGAGTTTGGTGTTGGTTATAGAGAAATCTTTTCTCTGGTAGCAAGGCATGACACAATCAGGAGTGGTGATTGCAATGGCAGCCCAGAACTCATGGCCTATATTTCAGCTTGATGTGAAATCAGCATTCCTCCAAGGAGATCTGAAAGAAGAGGTATTTGTTGATCAACCCCCTGGTTATGTGAAAATTGGCAATGAGCATAAAGTGTATAAATTAAAAAAAGGCTCTATATGGATTAAAGCAAGCCCCACGAGCTTGGTATAATCGTATAGAAACTTATTTTTTGAAGGACGGGTTTAAGAAATGCTCGTATGAATATACACTTTTCATAAAGGTTAAAGATGGAGGGAAGATGCTCATTGTGTGCCTGTATGTAGATGATCTAATCTACACATGAAATGATGAAACAATGTTTGAAATTTTTAAAAGCTCCATGATGGCTGAATTTGAAATGTTTGATCTTGGTATGATGCATTACTTTCTTGGTATTGAAGTAGTGCAATCATCTGCTGGCATATTTGTCTCTCAAAAGAAGTATTTGGGAGAGATCTTGGACAAGTTCCAGATGAGGGATTGCAATGCTGTGAACACTCCGTCTGAGTTTGGTGTGAAGCTAAACAAAGACATCGAAGGAAGGAAGGTTGATGACACTCTTTATATACAGATCGTGGGGAGTTTGATGTACTTAACAGCCACAAGGCCTGATATAATGTACTCTGTAAGTGTAATCAGCAGGTACATGGAGTGTCCTACTGTTGGTCCCAAAAGGGTCTACAAGAATACTAAACAGTTTGTAGAAGGGGGGGGGGATGAATACAAACACAATTTAAAATATATATTGATAAAGAAGATCAATACAGATTTTACAAGATTGTTTGCGGAAAGATAAGT